GGGTGATGATTTGGAGTTGAGGCGAAGCCACAGAATGTCCTTTCGGTCTGATTGCAAAGAAACATCTCTGGAGCAGGAAATACTGCTCAGGACAAAAGCCACAACTCCCCCGTTCTTTCTCAGATTGGAGTGCACCTCGTAGTTTGGGAAGTTGAGATGGTTAATCGGTGCAGACTCTGAGATTTTTGTCTCCGCCAAGAAAAGCACGGCGGGACGATTGGATTGCAGGTAGTGATGAACAACATCAATGTTGCTGTTAATCCCGCAGATGTTTGAAAAACGAATTTTATCTTCGATGTTGTTCCCTCGAGCCCACCCTCCACCCGGACATTCCGAGAGTGGAGTGAGTTTACTTCCGGAGTTCTTAGTGCTCGAGGGATCCATCATCATTAATTTCTTTGTTTTGGAAGATCCGAATGCACAGCTTAGGTGTGGAAACATGCGGACATTTATAAGACACCCTAGGAAAAGCTAGCGGGTGGTACCGCCTCGGTCGACTGGTCCTTGTCTACCACCTTTTTACGTGTTAGTGATTTTAAATAGACCTAAAGAGGCCCGTTGGCGGACTAGTACCGCCACCCGGCAATCGGTACTGAGGTATTACTTAACGCCTGTACAATCACTTGAACGGGAAGAAGTTGTATACTGGATACAACAACTTCCGGAACAAACATTTGCTACGGCCCCGCTCAGTAGGGATCAACATACAAATTAATGGAATTTTTGTGAATCAATAAATCACCTGCCAGTCTAAGATTATCAGAACGCGCTCAGAGCGCCATATACAATGTGTTTGGTCACGACATACCGATATTTAAGAGGGGTATTTTTCAGCTATTTTTGTCGACAAATCCACCTCCCTACAATGTCCTACCTCATCCCGCTTTAAATGGCAGCCATTTTTATTTTTACGTTACGATTACGGTAGTGCATGTATGAAAATTGTAATAACTGAGTACGTAAGTGTCACTGAATGATGAATTTGGTGTCATTTGAACGATGACATGTTGACCTAGCGATTATTGAAAAACTTGTTTTGATACTAACCGTCAAACATACTTAAAAACAGTCAAAAACGAAAAAAAAAATGGAAGAAAATTGATTATTTTGTGCATTTCCGCACACCATTCAAAAACTAGTCTTTGAAGTTGTACTTTTTTGTGCATTCTACAGCTTTTTGTTATCCTAATAAATGCTATCTAACATAGGTCAAAAAGGGTGTAATAAAATGAAAATTGTTTTCAAACTTCTTATTCATTAAAAATGACAAATCAATGTTTCTTATAGAGAGCTTGAACATGTTTAATGTTACAGAAGCTGTTCAAAATGTCCTCCATTATTGGTTATGCATATTGTTGTTATTAAAAAAATGTGTCATGTTGAGCGGCAGACCATATCCGTGTCAGGCCGAATTTCATTCGCAGCGGTATGGATCCATTTCAAGGATGGTGAGGTAGGACATTGTAGGAGGTGGATTTGTCGATAAAAATAGCTGAAAAATATCCCCCTGAAATATCGCTATGTCGTGACCAAACACATTGTATATTTGGTTAGCGAAACTTGACATACAAAACGTGGAGTGCCAAATTTGACCCGGTATGCTACTTAAGGGCTTTAAACACTACTAGATCAGATAATCTGTTCAAGGAATAAGGTATAACAGGGTTTTACAAATTATCAAAAGAACCAAAAAAGAATTCTATTTCCCAGGATCGAACCCGGGATGGTCGAATACTAATCTGACCATCTAACCACTACACCGAACAATCGGTTGTGAATTAGTTTCAGAAACATCTACACAGCCTTGTCAAACCATGGCCAACTAGGTTAAACGTGAACTATTAATTTTATTTTGTAGCCTCTGATGGAAAAAAAACCCTAATAAAATTGTTGAATTTGCTTGCGACCTGCGGGTAGACGTAGGATTCGGCTGCTTTCATGGGTCGTCGCAGATATCTTTTTCTGTAGGGGGGGCGTGATCGGCAAGAAAGCGTATCTGCTCCTAAAACTGAAAAGCGGGTGATAACAACATTCTAAAAAGAAGGCAAATCCGGAAAACCTCGAAAATTTCATGCAAATTTTAAGGTCCACCCAGATCCAGAGGAGTACGGCCAGTTGCCCCAAAACATGTCTTTATTCAAGGGCCCCAGAGCAGGGAAACTGTTTAAAAATCTTATTGCTTACACATACCTTGGAATGATGATTTTGACAGGACAAACCAACATCTCGATGGGCCATAATTCTGGCCCTGTCAAAGTCCCTAACATGGTGATAATTTAGACGTCTTCGAACTCGAGGCATTTTGCTATGCTTGACATTAGTAAATGAAAGGGCAATGACTAAAAATATCTCATCCTGATGACATTCGCAGAGCGACGAATCTTGTTCATGAAGTAAGAAATCCTCTCCATGAATTCCGCAATGAGCAATGGAACGATTTTCTGGCGGGGATGCTTGATTCAAGTACTTCTCTCTGGAAAGTGGCTAAGTCGCTCAGAAACGGAAAGCGAGAACGACTCCCGTCCTGGGGGCATAGTCTTCAGGACAGACTGCTTGATAATGATCTCGACGAGGAGCAACAAATTGAAAGATCCGTCAGGAGATATTTTAGGGCCAACAGCGTCAGTGATACCGGCGCCTCAGCAGATTCTTTTTCGGAAGATTCTTCAACTGAAGAGTTGCACAGCACATCAGCGGCTTCTCCCGAGATTCCGCATTGCACACCAGCAGAGCTTCAAGGTCATATTAAAGACCTCAAGGTGCGTAAAGCGCCTGGGGAGGATCAAATCACTAATAAGGCGCTGAAGCTGCTTTCACGGAAGTCCTTGACTTATCTCGTGGCTATTATCAATGCCATGCTAAGGACCCGGTACTTTCCATCGGCGTGGAAGACTGCGGAAGCTACACTGATTTCAAAGAAGGTGGGTTCGATATTTACCCAGGACTATCGCCCCATCCGCCTACTGTCTGCTCCCACTAAGCTCGCTGAAAAGGCGAGTCTACGACACCTTGCGAATTTCTCGTAAGATCACCATGTGATTCCTGACGTGCAATTTGGATTTCGGTCTAAGCATAGTACGGAGTTACAGGCGGGTTAGGCTTGTGGAGCGAGCCAGGGGCTTCACCCTTAACAAAAGTACTGGCATCTTGCTTCTGGATGTCTTGAAGGCATTTGACAAGGTGTGGCACAAGGGCCTTCTCTATAAGCTAATACAAAAGGGCTTTCCATTTTGGCTCCTAAAACTTTGAAATCTGTCCTTGAAGTGGTGGCTAATCAAAATTAATTACTCGAAAACGCAGGCTATCTATTGTACTAAAAAACGTAGCGGCGTCCCGCCTGAGGTTTCAGTGAATGGAGCTCGCATACCATGGGGAAATTCTGCTAAGTATCTCGGTGTCACTCTTGACAGGGGGATGACCTGGCAGAATCACACTGAAGTGTTAAAAACAAAATTCCAAATTACGTTTCGGCAACTCTACCCTTTACTATGTAGAACCTTAAAATTAAGTTTGGTTACACAGTGGGGCAAGTTCGCAAGCACACAAGACCGCGGCTCGCACTGTGATCAACATCAGATCGTGCAATTCTAAATCCAACCAAAATAACGATTTTTGGCACACACAAATTCCTAAATTAATTTTTGGATTAATTTAAAATAACCGAATACCAGTTAACAATAGCAAGGCATCCTTTTAACCGGCGCACTTCACCCTCTTTGCTCTTCTCCCTTCATTTCTTCTTCCTTTCTTTCTCCCTGACTTCGTCTGGTATCTGGGCAACCAAACCTGACAGACCGACTGACCTACGATACTTTAACAAAGAGCGAAGGTCCCACGGACCGCTCTGACGAACAATGACGAATAGAACTAAAAATATCTGTAGTTCTCAGAAACTGCTTTCTTCACAAAAACTAAGAGATAACATTTTAACAAAGTTAAATAAAAACAAAGATAAAACGTTGACGTTGTTGCCACAACATGCTGTATACTGAGTGACAAGAAAAGGTAAAAGCCTACGTATGTTTATTAGAATTAAAGAATTTTTGCCATATCAGTTTATCTTGCCATGAACAACAAGCGATAAAATGGTCAGGTTTCTTCTGTCAAGTTTTTGTCTTTCTATTCATTATAATGCCCAGTACATTTTTGTTTCACCACAGATGGTCAATGTTGAGGAAAAAATATCAATCCCAAAATAGTCCTTATTTGATCATGGTTCCTTAATATTGTGACGAATAGCGTTGTCTGTTGGGCGAGTCTCCTACTCGCCAGAGCCTAAATGCCGATCTCCGCTTTTACGCGAACCACGGCGCACAAGCTAGGGATGTTCCGATTCACTAAAAGTATCGATACCATGTATCGATTCGTATCGTTTTAGGAAGTCTCGATACTCTAAAATATCGGAATACAAATATCGATACTACAAGTATCGAAACCTTTCGATACGGAACACACTCTGCCGAAAATCGAAGTTTTTTCTATAACCCTCAAAATAATGTTTACTTTTCCAAGTATAGGACTAGATTGTCAAAAACGTTCACTAATAAAAATAACTAGGAAATTCATTAGAAAACGAATCATTATTTATTTAACATTTAAACAAAACAACTATACTACATATTACAGATAAGCATATTAAACATAAACAATATTACAAATAACTCAAAGTTCAAAATCTTAGAAATTCCAGTCTTCAGCACCCAGCGGATGTAAAAATAATAGTTCTGACATTCGTTCAATAATCTGTTTCGGCTTTGGCAGAGTATATTTCCGGCTTCAGTTAAGGATCTCTCTGAGCGGACTGTTGTGCCAACAATAGAGAGATATTTATTAGCCAGTTCTTTAAATATCTCGGAGGAAGCACTGGAGCTATTCCAGTACAAAAAGGGATTTGAGTTTAGGGGTATGGTATGACTAAATACAGTTGTAGCTCAAGATCAATATATGATTTAGTATTACCATATTTATCTGCGTGATTTTGGGCCAGTTTCTCATGGTAGGCCCAAACTCTCTCTGATTTTTCAACAAAATTAATATGATTTTGCCCTGCTTTTTCAGAATTTATTTCCTTCTTGCGCAACTGAAATGACTGATTTAGGAAAGTGACTGCATATTTGCACACGAAATTGAACTGTTAAAGTGCAATCATTTAACACAAGGGTCCAGGTTATTTGGGACAGCTAAAAGTTTAATCTGTTTTATGCTTCCAAAACGTTTTAGAAGCTCCTCGAAAGAGTCAAATTTTCAATTTTTTAAATAGGCAATTTTATAATAAAATAAAATTTTACATAATACCTCTCCAATAAAAAAATATCCCCAAAATCTTCCCCATTCAAATAAAGATCCCCTGATTTTTGGGGAAAACCCCCCTGAAATCAAAAATAAATTATGTGAGGTCGTGAAGTTGAGTAGCATCAGCAGTAGGAAACAAAGAAGAAAATAAAACTGAAGTTAGTCACTATTTCTGACACAGTCCGCATCGAAAGATAACGATACTCGTGAAATGTATCGATACAACCAAGTATCGTATATAAAAATATCGATCCAAAATATCGTGTATCGGAAGCAAAAGTATCGATACTTCTTAGTATCGGATCGTATCGAACATCCCTAGCACAAGCCGCCTGGCGTCTAGATCGACGCGAAGTGATCTCGAAGAGTCTAGACTTCCGCTTTGGGGCCCGCTAGACTCTTCTCGACAAACGATACGGCCGCGAGAGGGAAGCAGAGTACGGAATACGGTGGGGTAGCAGAGCGAAGAGAAGTATAGTGCAGTCAATGGTGACATAAGAATTAGTCAGACATAAATAGTGGTGCATATAAATGTTTTATGAAGTTAAATAAATTAGTGCATTTCTTTTTGTGGAATCCAGTGTTTTAATCTACACCCAAAAAGAACCCAGAAAACCGCTACAATATCTTTTAACTACATTGCATTTGTATATGATAAAGCAACTATCTAGAAGTATTTTATAGAAAAAATGAACAAAGTACAACCTTATTTGTACGTGCAGCTAAAGACCACAGATGAGAAGTTTCGTTTTTTTTTAAATTTAAGAAAAAATTCAATATCTCAAAAACGGTGACACTTTTATATAGGTAAGTTTTTGTTATTTGTGAGGTCAGTCCAAAGAGTACCTTCTCCTTAAGTTTGTCGTGGTACTTATTGGACACCCTGTATGTGTGGTACTGCCCTAGACTCTCGAACTGGTACATGTTTTTCCAAACGCATAAAAGACGCTTAAACATGTAAACACGAGGTACATTTAAAATTTACTTAGATTTATATGTGGTTCTACAGGGTGGGCCATCTATCGGTTTCGATTTGAACCACGTGTTAATTTGACGCTGACAATACTTATGTCAATCTGATTTGTCATAAAATTCAGTATATTATCTCCGCTGAACGAAATGAATCGATTTACGCTTGAGCAACGTTGGGTAATATTGGAAATTTATTTCCAAAACAAAGACAATTGGGCAGAAATTGCACGAAAATGCCGTTCAAAATTCGGTCGCAACGAAGCACCAACAGCGCCCGGTATACGCAAGTTTATTAATAAAGTGCGTGAAACTGGTTTCATTGTTGATGCTCCAACACGTCAGCGTGCTCGTACAGTGCGTACACCCGAAGGTATCGATGCTGTGGCTGCGAGTGTGCGTGAAAATCCATCAACGTCAACACGTCATCGTTCCCAAGAATTGAACATTTCCCGCACCAGTTTACGACGAATTTTGCGGAAAGATCTCGGTATGACGCCTTACAAAGTTCAATTGGTTCAAGAGTTGAAGCCGCGTGACCATCCACTTCGTTCTGCCTTCGCTACATGGGCCAACGAGCAACTAATCAATGATGTCGATTTTGCGAAAAAAATAATCTTTTCAGACGAAGCTCATTTTCATATTGGTGGCTACGTCAATAAGCAAAATTGCCGTATCTGGGGCTCGGAAAACCCACACGAGGTCTTAGAGAAGCCAATGCATCCCTTGCGAGTGACTGTTTGGTGTGGATTGTGGAGCGGAGGCATCATTGGCCCATATTTCTTTGAAGACGGGGACGGCGCAACCGTTTCTGTCAATGGAAACACCTATCGCACCATGATAACTGATTTTTTTGTTCCTGCTCTTGATGGTATTGATGTGGAGAATGTTTGGTTTCAGCAGGATGGTGCAACTTGTCACACATCGCATGCCACAATCAACTTATTGCGCGAAACCTTCGATGGCCGTTTAATCAGTCGAAATGGTGATGTCAATTGGCCGCCAAGAAGCTGCGATTTGACACCATTGGACTATTTCCTGTGGGGCGCTGTTAAAGACAAGTGTTATGTCGACCATCCAGAGACAATTGACCATTTGAAGGCCAACATTCGTGATGCCATTGACGAGATAGGCCCCAAACACTCGAAAAAGTGCTCGAAAATTGGTCCGATCGAATGGGCTACTGTGAGGCCAGCCGCGGCAGCCATTTGAATGAAGTAATATTTCATTTCTGAGCGGAACAATTGTACTTCAAAACAAAAAAATAAATTTGGCAATATCTCAAACCGTTTTTGTTTTATTTTATTTTTAAATCGAAACTTTTAAATGGCCCACCCATTACATGTATGTCCAGGCGGAATATTGAAAATTAGGCATATTAGTCTTTTTTGTCCTACAAATACTCTGTCTTTGTCAACACTGTTGCCCCATGCCATGATATTATAGCTTATGTATGTGTAGTAGTTGTAGTAGTAGTAGAAGAAGAAATATTTATTTAGCACTTTTGGCTACATGAACAGTGTAATTGTAAACAACTTAGAATGAGTAAATTTAAGCCATATAATATAAATGATGAGGAAACTATAATTGTAGATTTAACAAGTGATTCCTCAATTTAATTTGAATTTTGTCAAAGTTTTCTGGTCTTTTATCCATGTATATAATTGTGGCGCGATATGATAAGAGTAATAGCCAAAAAAACGCTAAGATTTTACACGCCAGCGGTCGATAGTATCAAAAAATATGTGTAATAACATTCTTATTTTTTTAAATGTTTAATCATTTACTATTTCTTTTATCATGCAACTTTTATATAGGTGATTTTTAGTTTGAGGCTTGTTCAATTGAAACCCATCTTTGGTCCAGAACAAATTTATTGGCAAATATATGTACAAATAATTACTACTACAGTTAAGGCACATATCCCATTATTTCATCAATCGATATATACCGTGCTTAAAGAATTGTTGTAGCTTGTGTTATACTTCTTTCACCGACTGAAAATGCTTACCTACCTTTTAACGCCTTTTTCAGTGGCCCAAAGATGTGAAAATCGCAAGGCGATAAGAGGCCGAGCATTCTCGTGCAGAAGTATGACGCCACGTAAGTGCCTCCCTGGACGTTTTCATCTTATTGCTTGATGGAGATTATTCGAAGTTTCTTTATACATGTTTGCGGTGATATAGTTCTTTAAACTGTATGAGCAAGGAATCCTTCATGGTCGAAAAAAACATGTTAACATGACCTTGCCTGCAGAAGATTGAACTTTAAACTTCTTTGGTGGCGGAGAATTTGCGTCTTTCCATTGCATCGATGACAGCTCACTGGATGGTTCAAAATAATGACACCAAGATTCGTCGCCAGCAATTACTGACAAAAAAAAGGCATTACCGTTTTGCTTGTATTCAGTGACATGTTGCAAAGATAAGCCCATTCCTAAGCTTTTTTGGTCCTCTGACAAAAGGCGAGGAACGTAACTATGTACAGATCCTGTACTCACACCATTTTCTGAAATTGCTCTGATTGAAATTCGACTATTTTCTCTAAGCATGCCTTTCACACATGCCACATTCCTGTCTGTTGATGCAGTACTAAATGCACCTGGTGGCGGCTTATTATTCGTTTTCTCTATACTATTCGTCATTATTCGTCAGAGCGGTCCGGTGGACCTTTGCTCTTAGTTAAAAGTCTCGTCGGTCTGTTAGTCTGTCAGGTCTGGCTACCCAGATACCAAACATGTTTAAGGGAAAAAGAGAAAGAAGTTAAGAAAGGAAGGAAGAAATAGAGCAAAGAAAAGAAGTAAATCATTTGAAATAGCTTAAGTAAAAAATTATTTTGATCGGTTTTGTATACTGAAATAAGTTTGGGTGGTCTGAATTTAAAATTTAATTTTGATCACAGTGCGAGGCGCGGCCTGGAATGTTTGCGAACTTGCTCGACTGTGTAGTCTACTGAATCACGCAACAGAGGGTTGCTGTGCGATTCCGCTTGATTATAACGCCGCTGCGCTTGTTGTTTTACATAATCCCTTAGATATGGAATATCAAGATCTCTGTGAATGGTCTCATTTGACACGTACCAAGGGGCGTTAGTAATAGTGCGTAGGGACTTGCAGTCTCTGCATGTGCGTCTTGGCAAGAAAACACCAAGTCGCGCATGGGTAGGTGATCGCGGGTCTTATGACCATTTTATACAACCGAATCTTGTTGATCAAACTTTATTTTGAATTTCTGCACGACAAAGGATAAAGCTGCCGAAAGGTAATTTGGAATTTTGTTTTCAAAATATCAGTATGTTTCTTCCAGGTCAACCCCTTGTCAATGATGACTCCAAGATACCTGACAGATTGCTCCCATGGTATACGAGTTCCATTCACTGATATCTCTGAGGGGGCACCGCAACGTTTTTTAGTACAATAGATTGCCTGCGTTTTTGAAGTATTAATTTTGATCAACCACCGATCCGCCCACTCCAATACTTCCTCCACCGCACTCTGCAGTCTGTCGTGAACCAGGTTACCAGAACAAGACTGAGCTAGCAATGCAGTGTCGTCAGCATAGAGATAGACTTCACAGTTGCTGGGGCAAGGGACGTCATGTATATAAAGTGAATAAAGGATTGGTCCTAAGACGGAACCCTGAGGAACACCGGCTTTTACGGGCCGCGTTGTTAACAACACATTGTTAATTTTGATCCGAAACTTCCTTCCTTCTAGAAAAGATTTCAAGAGTTTTAGTAGCCAAAATGGAAAACCGTTTTGGATAAGCAAGAGGCCCATGTGCCACACCTTGTCAAAGCCTTTGATACATCAAAAAGCAAGATACCAGTACTTTTGTTCAGGGTGAAGTCCCTGATTACATGCTCCACCAGTCTAACTGCCTGTAGCTCCGTACTATTCTCAGACCGAAAGCCGAATTGCACGTCAGCAATCACATGGTGATCTGACGAGAAATTCTCAAGGTGACGATAAATCACCTTTTCAGCGAGCTTAGAAGGAGCTGACAGCAGACTAATGGGACGGTAATCCTGAGGGAATATCGAACCTGCCTTCTTTGGGGATCATGATGACTTCAGCAACCTTCCACGTCTTAGGAAAGTAATGAGTTCTGAGCATTGCATTGATTATTGCCACCAGATAAGTCAAAGCCTTGAGCGAAAGCAACATCAGTGCTTTGTTGGTGATTTGATCCTCTCCATGTGCTTGTTGCTGGTATGCAAAACGGAATATCAGAGGATTCCGTTGATGTGCTATGCTGAGATTCATCTGAAGCGTCTTCCGTAGAAGAATCTTCTGAAAAGGAGTCACCGATGTTAGTGTCGCCATTCGCTCTGAAGTATCTCCTGGCAGATCTTACAATTTGTCGTTCCTCGTCAAGGTCATTGTCCAGATCATAATTGGGAGAGAACTGCCTTTCCAAGACGTCAGCAAAAACCTCCACATTATCCTCAGTCCTGAAAACTATGCCTCCAGGATCATGAATATGTGTAGTTGTTCTTGCCGTTTCTGAGCGATTTTGCCACTTTTCAGAGAGGAATACTTGATTCAAACATCCCCGCCAGAAAGCCGCTCCACTGCTTATTGCGGAATTCATGGAGTGCATTTCTCACTTCATGGACGACATTCGTCGCTCTACGAATATCATCAGGATGACAAGACCTTTTTGCTTGCTTAATCGCAGCCCTCTTATCAGAAAGATTCCGACGAATGTCAGCAGGGAGAATCAGTTCCTCTCTTCCACTTCTTCGACACCATTCCTTAACGTTTGGTTACGCAAAACATGCGTTTCCATACCCTGCTTGCATTCGCGTATGAATTTGCAAACCTTCAGCACACAAAATTTGAATGACCGCACGCTGATTATATTTGGACGGATTGTTAACAACAAACGCCATTTTCAAGTCACAATACTTAAAATCGCAGTCAAATGCAAATGACAGGAACTGATCAGTGTGACGTTTACAAACACTACTAGCATTTCAAAATGCGAGTTAAGTGATTAGAATTGTGCCAAGCCTGACCAAAGATGGGTTTCAATTGAACACGCTTCGCATATCAACACCTTTTGACGAGTCCTAAAAGCAGTTAAAATAAATGACCCAACTTTGAAAACACCCTGTATATATTTTTAGAGAGTAAATTTGGTCTTGTTCCGGAATACATACAGGGTGACAGGTAAATAGGTGTAAAACATTTTAGGAGGTGATGGTACAGCTCCTTTGCTATCAAAATTAATATATAATACCATACCCTATATTCAAAGGTTAAAAAGTTATGGAAGATTTAATTTTTTTTAAAAAACAACCCAGATTACAGAGTAAAATAGTGGAGATAAAAAAAATTTGGTGATTAAACATTCTTTTTTTGGTGGTTTCAGGTTATTATTTAAATAAATAATTCTCATAAATTAAAAAACATATGAAAACACTACTGAAAACGTATTTATTTTCATTTAAATGTTGAATGAAAATTTTTATTTTATTTTCAACTTTCACATTAGGAAGTCTTTTTTTCAAAAAAATCATAATAAAGAAAATGTACAAATTGTGCAGTTGTGGGAAGAAAAAGTTACGTAGCATTGCTTTGTAGCGATTAGATTTTACTGTTACAGTCTGGCTTTGCTTGTTTTCGAAGAAATAGGGTCCGATGATTCCTTCAGCCGACATGGCCGCTCAAACTGTAACATAACACGAATGCAAATTTGGGATTTTCTACGGCTCAATACCGGAAATTTTGCTTGTTGACAAATCCACTCAGATGAAAATGAGCTTCATCAGAAAAGAGAATATTGTTCAACATTGGAAAGCACTCTAACAGGACCGCTAATCTTTCTTTTATACGTAAATAATCTGCCGCTTTACATAACACGCGGGAGGGTAACTATGTCCGCTGCTGATACGATGATACAAGTTCACGGACAGAATCCTCAAGAGCTTCAACATAAAGTGGCCCATGTTGTTGATGAATTTAGTGGCGGGTGTCAACGTCACAAGCTGATACTAAATGAAGGCAAGACCGTCATAATGAACTACGCATTCAAAAACATCTACCTAACGACTTTGCTATACTTTCTCGTACTAAGGTTTCGAACGGCACAAAGCTCTTAGGTACTTACTTTGACTCAACACTATATTTTCTGACCATATTGAAGCCGTGTGGCAAAAATTTAATAAGGCATTCTGCGCCTTATTACAACTAAAAGGCACCTTAGACGGTATATTATGCATTAGCATACTCACACATAAGCTATAATATCATGACATGGGGCAACAGTGTTGACAAAGTCAGAGTATTTGTAGGACAAAAGACTAATAAGTCTAATTTTCAATATTCCGCATGTACTGTACCTTGTGTTTACATTTTTAAGTGTCTTTTATATGTTTGGAAAAACATGTACCAGTTCGAGCGTCTAGGGCAGTATCACACATATAATACCATAAACAGTGCGACATTAACTGTCCTCAAACACACCAGTCGCTTCAAGCACTCACCTCATTACAACTGTATAATATTTTATAAGCTGCTTCAGCATTTTAAAAATATAAGAACATACACAAATTTTAAATATGAAGTGAATTCGTTTTTATTAGGTGAAGGGTTTTATACGACTGGTGAATTTTTAGAACACAAGTACAAATAATATAATTAAATATCAGTTACCTAGTATTTGTGCATGTCTTAGCATGTTAAAGGTACTTTCTATCAATAATGTCTTGCTGTGATCTTTCACTTGTTTATTTATTTGCATATTTTTTTTTCTTTGTAATGACCTGCCATGTATGGGTATTCCAGCAAATTTCGAAATTCATGTCCTGAACCATTGATGCTAAGTTGCATGGATTTATCATCAATTTAACATTTTTATTATATCAATAAGTATCTTCACTAATATTTTAAAAGCAAAAATTTAGATAATATATTGACACAAAAAAATACGATTAATTTATTCGTCGAAAAGTCATTCCCTCATCTCGTCCCTGGGTCTGAAATTACTAATAAAAAATGTATACAATCAAATCTGTTCAAATTCTTATAAATTGAATATTACTAAAATATTTGGTAATAAGTATGGATTGTATAGTCAAGCTTTCATTGCTAAAAAATAAATATGTACATAAAAAAATCTATTTAAACTATGTCCCTTGAAATGAAATCATTCCCCCACTCATTATCAATATTCGATTTGTGGTCTGTGTCATTACCTCACTGTTTATATTAAAAGGTAAGTCATTATACTGTTCGAATGTCTTAATGACTTTTTTCGTGTTTTGGGGAGTAAAATGCATTCACAAAATGCTCAATCAATTTGAGGTGTTGTACTGTTGGTTACTGTGTCGCTTATGCAAATCCGTCATTCCCTCTCTATATTAGAAAGTGAGGAAATGAATGTTGCATATATAAAATTGTGGTTTGGGTGTTATTGTTTAACTCCAGGTTGTATAGCATGTGTTTTCAATTTTAACAGATATCCGTATATCAAGAATGGGGAAAATGAAGAAGTTAAGTGAAGAAGAAAAGAAATTAAAAAATGAGTACGACAGAAAGAGGCGACAACAAATGAAAATTAATGCCGAGTCTTTAGAAGCTTTGCGTGAAAAAGAAAGATTAAAGTATTTAAAGAAGAAGTTAAGTCAATAAGTCCTATGAGTGCAAGAGAAACTAGCCAAAAACGAAAACAATGGAAAAATAATAGTAAAGTTTATAGGGAAAAGCGAGTTACATTACAAACAAATTTACAGAGAACAGTTGAAGACACACCCCCACCAAGTCCTGCACCATCTTTACAGCACAGAGCAGAGACTTTGTCTGCTCTCAATAGACGTAGAATGCGCAAGCGGCGAACTAATCTGTACGCGAAGATTAAAAGTTTGGAAAATAAAGTAAGGAACGCAGTCAAGCCTAGCGAAAAATATAAGAAGAGGTGTTTGGGATTGAAAGCTAAAAATACTGACAAAAACTCTCCAGCAACTAAAGTGTCTTCGCTTTTAAAGAATATACAAAGTCCTGGCGTTGTAAGAAAAAGACTCATATTCGGAGAAGCACTACCAAGGGACCTCAAGAATATCTATGAAGATCTTGGAAGTAAACATGGAGAAAAGAAAAAATATTACATGTTGAAGCTGTAATAAGTATAAAAGATACAAATTGCTATATAGATCGAACATTTTTTCAAAAACAATACATACAAAAAGAACTGTACCTACTCGTAAAGTTAGCTCCAAATTGCTGAAAGTTAGGGGTGATGTCGTTTATTTCTTAGATAATGATGAAGATACGAGGATGTGCCCTTTAAAGTATAAAACAAATCTCAATGCATCTATTAATAAATTAACTTATTGTTTTTATTGAAATTCAGCATCAAATTGTTGTAAAAATCATTCCCCCATCCTATCAGTCATTCCCTCATTTCATAGTTTTTTAAAAGTCATTTTTCTACGTTATACACAAAAATATGGAAGACCATTTTCAATGAACCTCACTAAATTTCTAAATTTGTTGAGAAATACCCATATACTTCTGTATCAACATGGCCAATAAATACTACTACTACTACTACTAAAAAAAAAACATTGTTTCGGTAAACGCACGGTGCACATGGTGGTCCTGCGGTTTCATTCCTGCACTAGTTGAAGTTTATATGGGTACAATTTAAGATCTTTTACCAAAATACGCCTTTCAAATGTTCTTGATATAGCGATCTCAGCTGCTCTCTTTCGGGATAACTGTGGATCCCGCCGAACGCGCAACTCCGCTTACAGTTTCCTCTGTTCGTATTGACCTTGGACGCCCTGCAGGTTTCTGGTTCAGTGTCAAACCGGTAGACTCGAACTTTCTGACTTAGGACCTTTTCACGCTTTTACTAGGACAATGATTTAGATCATGTAAGCTAAACAGACGTCGCGCAATGGTGCACGAATCTCAATTTTTGTAATAAGCCTTAACACGGAAAACATGCTGCTTACCGGTGAAACGCTCCATAGCGACTAAATTTCCGAGCACAAAGCTACTTATGCCCACTACCCGTGACCGCTCCCGCGTACCTGTCACGAGCAATGCGGTTCTGAAATTCGCAGGTCTTTCTGATCAATCCTGTAAATTATTGTCAAGTCGCGTCGTGCCATAACTAGGCGTACTTTTATGTGATATTATGCTAGGAGACAATCTTTCACGCAGTGGCGAAAACTGCTTCAGCCATTTCTAGAGTATTCTATCTCCCAAAGCATGTTTTTGAACAACACAACAACTCAAAACATTTAATTATTTTTACTACAAATAATGTTTCGTCGAAATTTATTTGCAACATAACATTCAAATTCCTGATGGGTAAAGCATTAAATAATTATATAATACAAACAGTGACAGTGACTGACTATGCTTGAACTATATGAACTGAATATTTATTTCAAAGTACTTTAAATTTAAGCATTAGGTAACAAAAATAAAGTAAAATAATAGTTACAATCTTCATTCATTCCCGTTTAATAATAAATTTCTCGCCTTTTCAATGTTCTCCAGAGCATTCTTGACATCATCGTAATTCAGTGCCGAAGTAGCATATTTGCAGAACTTTTGTGCCTTTTGTATTACCTGAAATTGAAAACTAAATTTCAGCATTTCACAATGAACGGCACATGGCACACAAGGTTATTCAATTAAATATCTCATTGGACCGATCACCGGCCATGCGGTATAGTGTGGTTGGTGGGAGTTATTTTCACTATACAAAGGGTACTATAAAAGTTTTGCAATACAGTTTTATTTACTGTCTGAGTTCAAAGTAATTTCCACCATATTCAATATAATTCTCTATTCGCCAAAACCAGTCCTTAAACCAGCTCTGCCAAGTTTCACCCGGGAGTGCGGCATACTCGTTGTCCCAAGCTCTCAGAAGGTCCTCATCGCTAAAAAACCGTTTTCCTTTTAGCTTCATTTTCACATGCGGAAACAATGCAAAGTACCAGGGAGAAAGATCTGGACTGTTAGTAAGGTGCTCAATAAGTTTGGAGCGTCGTCATGGTGGAGGTACCAAGTGTCCATTCTTGACTTTGACCGCTGGTTTTTCATAGACTTTACGGCTTTAGGCAGGCACTGTTCCGTGTACCACTTAGCTTCTGTTTGTCCAAAACGACACGCTCCACAATCCCGCTCGATTTGAAAAATACAGCTATCATTGTTTTTTGATAGATCGGGATTTTCTGACAGCTACGGGTGTGTCATCATCAAAGACCCAAACTTTGTTTTGAGCGTTAGTCGGCACATCGTAATAATAGAGCCAAGTATCGTCACCTGTCACGATGCTGTTCACATACCGAGATTGCCCCTTATCAAAAAATGTTCAGCATCTTTCGGCACCAAGTCGTCTTCTGCTCCTCCGTCAGACTATGCGGTACCAAGAGAGAACAAAGTTTCCTCACGTGTAAATAGTCATGCAGAATTGAACGAATTTCTGATGCATGAATTTGTAAGGTCTCCTCTATCTGTTGGTATGTCACTCTCCGGTCTTCGTCAAGCATTTTCCTCACAGCAGTAATGTTTTCATCTGTTACTGACGTTCGCGGCCTTCCTTCCCTCTCAACGTCCTCCAGAGTGAAATTATCCCCTTGGAATTCTCTGTACCACCTGAATATATTCGTACGATGAGGATAATCATTCTTTAATCCAAGCATCATTTCTTCTAAGCACTGGTCTATGCTAAACTTATACCTTAAAACTGCCCTTATCTCACTATGTTACCACGATGCCAGATTCCGCACTTTACACTGTCAATACGAATGAACCACTAAATCAACAGACGTGCTGCTGGCTGCTATTATGCACTCATGGACACATCTCAACATGTAGTAACATGCAGCCTCCTGCATCCGTTTGTTAAGTCATATTGCAAAACGTTGTAAGTACCCTTTGTATTTGCAAGAGGAGGATAATCCTATGCATCTTTATTGGTCGGTAGCGTAGTGTGATTCCACAAACAATGGAAATACTCCTAGAACACAAAAAGTTCCTCTAAACATACATGTCCTAAAATGTTATATGCAAAATTAAATGGCTCATCAAAAATGCGATAAATGTTCCAAAAATGCCAAAGGCGTAAAACAATTTTCTTCTGAAGGGGAATGTTTACAACACTTACGCCACTAGTGTGTATCTTCAGTATGGGTTGCTGGAGTACTAACCACAGTTCTGTGCAAGAAGGTAAGTTTCCAGGCTTTCTTAAGATAGTGATTGAATCCATACATAAAAAATGACGAGTAAGTTGACTTTATACTTCCCACGCAATGCTGTCATCAGTTCGTAAAGGATTATGATGGGAATAAGTTAGCCCTTCCGAAAAAAAAGTTAGCTACGAACATGCATAACAGAAAATCAAATAACTATCCATAAAAGAAATTCCAACCCGCACACATGATCGTTGCTAAGATTAAACCGGCGTGGCTAATAAAAAAGTTCAGCAGATATGCCTTGTTTTTTATGAAAAAATGGGAAAAGCTCAAAATTCAGTATTTTGCTTGTATAATTCTCAAATTAAATTTTGTAAATAATCGGTAAACCGGAGATTTTAGAGCATAAAAAGACCTTCAATTTTATTTTTTTAAGAATTAAAATCGATAAACAGTTAAGCTAAATACTTTTAAGCAACATTGAATAAATGTTTAACAATAAGAATAATTGTAAATGGCAAAAAATTTGTGAGAATGGGGGAAGGAGGAATTTCGCCCGTATCGGTTTAATAGTTTATGTAAAAAGCTAATTGTTTATCCCAGATATAACTTATTTAAACAATTGTACTTGCCCAAGATATCGTCCTAGAACATTTTACAAAAGTGACATGGATTCTTGAAGGTTTCAACTTCAAGAATTTATGTAAAAATTTAATTATATATTTCAGAAATGTTGTTAAAATTGATGTTAAGAATAGAAATGTTTATAGTTATAAACATTTACAATAACATCATTATTTTTCATCTAAATTCATTTTAACAAGTTCATAGATGGTTAAAAAATGCATATTTTTTAAAAAACCTACGACCAATAGGAGCCAAGATGAGTTTTTTTTAAATTCATATCTCCTTTGTTTATAAACATTATTTTTACAGATTTCAATCAAGGAGCTTAATTTTATTATCCAATTTATGATTCTACGATTAGTTCAAAGGTCTTTAAGAAATAGCCACCTAAAATAAAGGTACTCGCGTAAGTACTTCCAGGTAAGGTGCTGGGAGAACCAGCCCTAGCTTGATTTATTTTTTGAAATTGAGTCTTCAAATCGGGACGCGCTTCAAAATTTTGCATTATCTCGACTTTTAAGCAACGCAGAACCTTCTTTTTTTTAATTTGGGTTAACTCGTCGAAATAATGACATCTGGCATATTTTCATTTATCCTAAAAAATCAGGAAATCCCGGAAAACTTAACACGTTGTATTCTTCAAAATTAAATTAATAGTAATAGGGAATAATAATAAATGAACAATAAACAATTTACTTTTACTCACAGTCTAATAAAATAATTTATATTTTACAATAAAATTGTTTAAACAATTCATAATTCATATAATGAATAAGTTTCGTGATGTTCAGCATCGCATAAGTAATGACATACCAACAAAATATATATGAAATATGATCAACCAGTGAAAAAAATTATTGAAATCGGTCAATAAATGGCAGAGAAATTAATACTTCAAGTTGGCGCATTATAGCGCGAAATCATTGCTGCCGTCAGTTCGCGTCTGACGTCACACTTCGCGAGTGTGTTTCAGAACTAAGGGATCAAACTTGTAGGGGTTATTCAGTGTAACACTATAAAACATTTGAGTATAGGGACCCATATCCGGAAAAGTGTCACTACGGCCCTAAGACGCGGTAAAATTTAGAAGGACGATGATTTAATGCATTTAATTTTTGCCTTTTGTACATGATATCTCCACAACAATTGCTCAAAATGTCTTCCTCTAACCTGAATACGCCGATTTAAACGTCGCACATGATTTTGGCGGACTTAACTAAAAAGTTGATACTCGTTTTGAATGATTTCAAATGCTGCTGTAATTCGTCCAATTAAGTCATCCTCTGTTTCTACTAGAGTTTCGTAAACCAAAGACTTTACATGTCCCCACAGGAAAAAATCTAGCGTCGTTAAATCAACAAGGCCAGAAATCTGCTCCACCTCTGACAATCCAACGGTGCCCAAACCGCTGAGCCAAATACTCACGTACTTGTACATCAAAGTGAGCCGGCGTTCCATGCTGAAACCACACTTGCTGTCGAAGGTTCAGTGGAACAATTTAAAGAAGTTCTGGAAGAACTTCCTTCAAGAAACGCCGGTAAATAGGTCCTGTTAACCGTTCCGGTACAAGGTATGGCCCAATCAAATAATCATCAATGCCTGCCCATACGTTGACAGACCGACGTTGCTGATGTTTTCTAGGAAAAATTGCATGGGGATTTTCATTGCCCCAAACGTGGCTATTCCTACTATTCAAAATACCGTCTCTTGTGAAAGAGGCTTCATCGGTCCATAAAACATAGCGTAAAAAATTTGGTTATGCAGCGATTTGATGAAGAAGCCATTGACAAAATTGAACTCTAGGATGATAATCGGCGGCAGTCAATCCTTGAACTTTCTGGAAGTGGTAAGGATAAAGTTGTTGCTCGTGTAGCACCCGCCAGACGGAACCGTTACTCGTATTCATATCCTCAGCAATGTGACATGTGCTACTTGATGGTTCGTCGGCAACTCGCTGAAGGACCTCTTCTTCAAATTCGACCGTTCTTACGGTTCGAGCAACACCAGTATCATGCATGTTGGTTTTAAACATGCCTGTCTCGGAGAGCCGCCGATGAATAATAATAATAATAAATCGTCTTTATTTATAAAGTTACATAGTATCGGGCGAAGTTTAGCTAAATATATATATATATATATATATATATATATATATATATATACAATTTGACTCAATTATACCTAAAAGAGCGAGTAAATAAAGCCGTATGGTGTCGTGGAATATCTAACAATTTGCCATACCTGAGCATACAGATTGCCTGAAAACAATTTTTTTGAAGAGGTATTCGGGAGTTCCCGTGATAATCAAATTATGAATCAACTTCAAGATCAAATACTCGTAAGAACTATTAATATCTAACCATTTTAAACTACGAATACAGTGTGAAACATGGTCATATTTTCATAAACCGTAGATGAGGCGACAGCACGAATTTTGAATCAGTTGAAGTCTGCGAAGTGAGACTTGATCTAAGTAAGGATAGAAAACTATAAGGCAGTAGTAGATTTTTGAGAGAACTAGGCTTTCACAAAGTTGTTTTTTCAATTTGAAATTGATGAAATGCCTATTAACAAACAATGTTTTTAGTACAACAAAGCAGTTTCTTACTAATTTCGATATATGCTCACGAAAACGTAAATCTTTGTCAAGACACCCAAATTTTTTGCAAGATCCTCATAAACTAAAGAAGTGTCATTAATGCGTACTGTCGTGTTATTTCTGATATTAATGATTTTGTTTTTTGGTGCAAAGAGAACAGCTTTAGATTTAGAGGCATTTAGCGTTAAGGAGCTATGTTTGGA